GCAGCAGCAGCAGCAGCAGCAGCACGTACGGTGTGTGTTTGACAGGAATAAAGGAGAAAGCCACACTAAAACATCCACCAGCCAATCACGCGTTATTGTTTGTTTCTTGATTTCTCCTTCATTTGTGATATGATCTACTTGCCTACACCACAGCTTCTTTCCTATCAAACATCATATCATCAAATAAATAGCTCTTCTCTTTCTCTTCTTTTTATGGTAGTTTTTTTCTAGTAATACGTATAGTCTTCGGCACTGACTTATATGAGCTAATTGTGTTGCAAGTGCTTTAAAACTCTGACTGTCTTTCAGTCACACTCCTGATCTTATGGTAGGAAAGATCTACACCTAGCCTTCTCGGACCAGGGCGAAAAATCTCGGGAGGTCCCGTTTGCAAATTGTGCTCGTTAAAGATCCTTTGGTGGCCCAAGATCGATAAGAGTAGGCTTCGGTCACCACCCGGGCAAAAATTCAAAATTTCCTACCAACTGAAAATGTTTAATGTGTCCTGCGTAATCATAATATGATCTTATGCAGGTGCGAGCACCGTAAAACACTGACTTACCAAAAACAAAACACCAAAAAACACCAAACTCGGACAAAAAACTAAGCTAGGCCTAAACCTAAAGTCGTACGTACCTGCGTGTTCTGAGAGAAGAGAGTGTCCTGCTCCGCACAGTAAACTCCGGAGAAAGGAAGATAATGTTGCGCTCACCGCAGACTGCAGTTCCGAGTGTGTGCGGCTCGAAGAAGAAGCAATCTCTCGTTTGTTTAGCTACCTGTATAAACAGGGCAGACCAGAGCGCTTGAACTTGAAGGATTTAGAATCAGAATTATAAAACGCGCTAGTGTCTAAAAATATTAAAAAACCGGCGTCTGTGGTGTAGCTGTTAGGGGCTTCACCGCCGCTCAAGGAAGACCTGAATTCAATTGCAGTGTGGGGGAGAATAGTTATATTATTCAAATATCTGGTTCTTTCTGCTGGAATGTTGTATCCCTCTCAGCGCCCTGACAGGTAGGGTCAAAGCTGCCTCCTAAATTAAAATCTTTTGATTGGGGGGTGGGGGGGGGGAGAGAGAAAACACTTACATAAAGAAAGGCCTGAGAGGAGAAGAAGCAATTTAGAATTACAAACACTGTTTTATAAAAGTGAAGTAAAACACTTCTAGCAAGCTAAGGACTGGTTGTTTTTTTGTTGTTGTTTTTTTCTCTTTTTGGTCTTTTGTTTAGTTTTTGTTTTTCCCGTGTCTCCTTATATTTTTGTAGCTGCCAAACGTCGTCACTATTTTTTCTTATCTGTTGTTGTTTTTATAATGCACGTCACAATGTTACCAAAAGTTACTGAAATTTTTCTGTCTTTTCTATGAGTCGCATACTGAAAAACGGAACATGTAACAATATTTGCTGCCGTGAGTAAATAATGATGTGGTTAACTCTTAAGTCTAGTAGAAAGTGTTTTACGGCACTTGCAACACAATAAGATCATATAAGTGCCGAAAATTAGAGGTGTTACAAGAGAGTAACAAACACAAAAAAGGAGGGGAGATTCGGACGATAGATGTTTGATAGGAAAGAAGGAGAAAACCACACAAGAACACCCACCAACCACCTGCCTTTAACTCTTTAAGGATGCAGCAGACACATAATGAATATCATTATTTCTGATCGGCAGAGCAAACGCAATGCTGTGACACATTTCCAACCAACAGACACAAATCAGAAAAACAAATCACATTATTTCAAAGTACATGTCTTATATTATGTATGCTGTTGCCTACCTTTGTAAGTTGTTTTTTTTAGATAAATAAGACAGAAATCTGTATGAACAAAGCAGGATGTTGTGCTTGTTTTGAAAAGTGTCCCAAAATGCAAAATAAGATGAAAATGGTACGGCTTTAACGCCTCTATTAACACTATTAGGTCATTGTCCCAAAGCGTGTGGCCAAGGGCTGTGGAATTACGAGGCAGGGTGTCTTCAGTAAGTTAATCGTGTTAGTAGCGATAATGTCGTTGTTTAATTTAAGAGAGTTTTTGACTGTTTTACAACCTTCATGATCTCCAGCGTCTATGGTGCAGTGGCTAGGTGCTGCGCTGTCGCACGAAGTAGGCCTGAGTTCGATTCCAGTGAGGGGAGAATTTGTATCGGGTATCTGGGGGTATTTCTGCTGGGATGTTGCATCCCTCTAGTCCAGGTTTGGCCCTGATATCTAGGGTCTGAAGCCCGCCTCCTAAATGATCTAGGTGATGTCGATGGGTGCATAAAAAGTAAAGCTACATTAAAAACAATACTGATAATAATAACAATAATAATAATAATGAT